TCATCCCGCCCATCCCGCCACAAACCTCGCACTCTGCCAACTCGATGTGCTTTAGTTTTTATTTGTAATGTTTGTCAGATTTGTCAGATCTCCACCCGAGGTATGCATTTAAGGGTTAAGTTTAAAGTTAATCCATAATTGAGATTTAAATCTGAGTTTAAAGTTATGGTGCAACAGGATTAAAGTTAATCTTAAATAGGCTATAACTTAAATCCAGGATCAAAATGATGGGTTAAAATGTAAACCTGCTTATTTTTAAAGGTTTAAAGTTTGGTGCATTAGATAAATTAGATAAACCATGATTTAATCTAGATTTAAAATGAATCATTGCAAACCATTTAGCTATAAAAAAAAATGTAATGATCATTTAAAATATAATTTGAAGAAGTGTTTCTTTCACAAAATGAGCATTGAATATATAACTATAAAATATACTAAATTTTTCTCCCTCTTGACCAGGTACTCATGTCACTTTCATTTCTTTCGGGATAAATGAATGAATTCACGTGTTGTAAATCAGTCTGTAGGCCTATAGCGCACATATAGCCCCTAAATTTAGCGATCAAATGCATATTATAAACTTAACATTTAAAGTACAACATTTTTTTCTATAAAATGATTTTGTCTTTGTTACTAAAGTAGTTTATAAAGGGTGATAGCACAGCATTTTTGAATGACATGAGTTTGTCTGCATATTGCATATTGCAAATATTGCATGTTTCCTCTCACTTGTAAAGTATGCTAGCAGTTATTTCTTCTAGTTCTTTCAAAGCAGTTCTTTCTGCGTTTCCGCTCACATATTTTTAAATCTGTTTCATTGAGGTTCCAAATAATGGAATTCTCTGTATAATAGAATTATGTTTAATCAGATCCTGAATTTCGTTGCGGGATTGCGCATACATCGCATTACTCATTCCCGCAGGTTTCGACTTTAAAATGAGGGAAATTACTGCAAAACCTTTATTCAATATAGCGTGTAGGTTAGATGAGTAAATAAATCCACACAAACCATCAGATGAAAACAGCGTATGTGATTCAGCTGTACCGCGTCTTCTCTCTTTCTTTCGCTTCACATCGACGCATCTAGAGCTGCTGCACGCTGCAATAGAAGACTTTAGCTCGCGTTTCTGGACAGTTGACAGAATTGTCAATAGCCTGATCGGTCATTGTTGCATCGTCACAAAAATGTATTATTTTCACGTCTTTTTAAGCCATTCGGTACTCGCGCTCTCCAGAGGCGCGTGCGCTCACAGTCACATCCAAAGTGCGTACTGCGAGTACCAAATTGAGAAAGTACTGTCGGTTTTGTCTTAAGTTAATGTAAACAGTTGCAAAACAAAACGCATGAGTATCAGTATTGGATCCGTGAAATAGGTCTTGTGACAGCAGCCTAATAAAGCTGTGCCGTCTTTTATTAATGTTAATCAAACAACAAAACTTACTGCTCTTGACTAAATAATGTTTTGTTGAATAACTTTTAATGTTAATTTACAGTTTATTCAATTTCTGTAGCCTATTTAAAACACGTTCATAATTTAGAAAATGTAGTTAATACTTGCATCATTAATGATTTATTTTATCCACCCGCGACCCACCCGCAAATAATCAGAATGCATTTTTTTATTCCCCGCCCCACCCGATCCGCGGATTATCCGCAGCGCCCGCGGATATAACCGCCATCCGCGCATCACTACAGCACAGGTTTTTTTTTTCTTTTCATTTCTATACCTCAAGTGTGTTTTGACCTGATCATCACTCTTTTGTGTATTCCACACAATCTACTAAATATAGACAACTTCATTATAAAGAAAAATAACAAATTAAAAAATATATAATCATAATCTATGAGAAAAATACTATTATAAACTAGGTTAGTGGATAATTCAGCAGCAAAAGTTACTCTACAAAAATTATGAGTTCACAATAATTTTATAAAATCTAAACATTTAGAGAAAAAAACTATTTTGTGCGGGGAAAATAAAAGTAAATAGGTAATCTGGTAAAATGTTACACATTGCTCTTTGTATTGTAATATACATTCATGAAAAACAAGTAAATATAATTATATATAAATATATGCAATAAATTAACATTTCTTTTACATTTATAGCACAGTAATGAGGCAACAACATATGATAGATAAAACAGAACAAGAAAGGCTATTGACAGTCTTTCATTGCGCAAAAGTATTATAACATGAAAGGCTCCAATACAGAGCGGCACAAAGCGCTTATGCTTATGTTCATCCTCGCAGCGCTCCGCATAGAAAAGTTCAAAACACAAAGGGAAGAGACATTATGCGCAGTGTATTATATCTGTGCGATAGTTTATTGAGCATTTTCTTTTGACAGTTTTAAATTTCAGTTACAGTGCGCGTGAAGAACAATTCATAGTGCTCTCTACTAGGCCTGTCACGATAACAACTTTTTGTTTTGCGATATATTGCCCCAGAAATAATTGCGATAAGCGATATTATTGTCATTTTAAAGACCATTTTATGCCACTGAATATATAATCATAATGTAACAGCATAATAATGCAAGAAGGCCTACACACTTCCAAATGACAACAAACTTTTCATTTTTAAGAATATTTAGATCATGGAAATTAAGTATCAAAATATTAGATACCTTAACCTGAATAAATAGTAAATAAACATTTTCTAACAAAAAGTGCAAAGTAACAAGTACAAAAAAAGAAAAATGCACAAAGAACTTGTATGGAGATTTTTCCCTGACCTTCTTTTCTCTGTAAATGAAGGGTGCACACTATTGCTGAAAAACACAATCACTACTTAGCAGTCAGATGTCGGTATGCACAAAGACACAGCTCCCTAAACAAGGCCATATCTGCAGATGAAACTTTTTTTGTAGAAGCAATTTTTAAATTTGAACTAGCACCAACTACACCATGTTATGTACGAGATGCTGCAAAAGACACAGGCGCAAGTGGAATGTACAAAAACATATACATTTTTAAGTAAATATAATGGGCGATATATTGCATCACCAAAAATTATTGAGGTCATGTACATGTATTGCGCGACAAGTCGATATATTGATTATTGCGACAGGCCTACTCTCTACTCCAGTGTTGTGATCTGACAGACACCCTTTAGAAAGTAACATGATTTAGAATTAGCACTAAACTCCAGCAAGATAAAGTAATTTTATGCAAAACCACTGATGTTTATCTACAGATCAAGCATAATAATAGGAACATTGTATCATGCTAATGAGAGTTTCGTCGTCTTGACTGTCATAACCGAACGCGACGCGCAGTTTGAATGCTGAATGGAGGATGACTGACAGCCGCAGCAGAGAGAATATTTAAGTGAACTTGAAGTTAACACTTAAATATTAATCTGTACCTATGGAACAGTCTCAGAACACTTGAAATATAGTGCATGGAAACTTTATGGTGCTTTATAATGTTTTTGTGTCTTTCGTAGGGCTTAACAATAACACAGAATAGTATACGCACAATATCGGATTTGGATCGGTCTTGTCTGACCGATACCCCGATCCAGCAGAAAGTGGCAGTATCGGAGCGATACCGATACTGAATATCGGATCGGCGCACCCCTAATTTAAATGTATTTATTTTTACTGTATGAGGAACTCTGATCTAAAAAACAAATCACTGCAATCTACTTCTGTTTTTGCCTTTTTTTTCTAATTTGTTTGTTGCTCAAACAACTGAAAGTTTGCCCTAATTCTGTTACACTACTTCGAGTCTAGTAAAGTAAAGCCACAAATATGTGATTTGTGAATTCCAAGTCATAATTTTTAATATGGTATTTCTGTGAACTCTACCAGTTTGTTTTAGATGCATATATTAGCATATATAATAAAGTGAGACTTTATTACCTCCACAAAATTATCCCCACAGAATAGACTCAAATCTCACCACTCACCTGTAATCTCATTCTTTTTTCCATCTCGTCCTTCAGTTCATCTTTAAGCTCCTTTATGTCTCTCCTGGTCATTAAAGAGGTATACTGCAATAAGGTTAATGTGTGATATGGTCATTCAGGTGTGGTAGTTAGGGGTTTATACTCACTCATGCTGCGCTTTGAGGAGATCCAGTGACATGCGGAGATCTTTGAGTTCAGTCAGCACAGAGGCCAGGGAAGCGCTCTCCTCCTGAGCCACAGCTTTGCTTTCAGTCGGTGTCTTGGGTGGTGAAGTGGTCTTAGCTACTTGGTCTGTCTTGGTGGAAGGTGATGACTGAGGTTCTGTAGCCTGTGAAAAAAATACCAGCAGCTGAGCAACTGAGGGATGAAGAGGGATATAACTCCAAGGACAAGATGACAAAATGTTCATACGTGTACATTACTGTTCAAAAGTAATTTTTTATTTTCATTTTTTAAGAAATTGATCATTTTATTGCACAAGAGCATGTTACATTGATAAATGACAGTAAAGACTTTTACATTGTTACAAAAGATTTAAAAGAAAATGCTGTTCTTTTATACTTTCTATTCATTAAAGAATCCTGAAATAAATGTATCATGGTTTCTACAAAAATATTAACAGCACTACTGTTTTCAACACTGACAATAATAAGAACTGTTTTTTAAGCACCAAATCAGCAAATTAGAATGATTTCTGATCATGTGACACTGAACACTGGAATAATGGCTGCTAAAAATTCAGCTTTTCCATCACAGGAATAAACTACATTTTAAAAGACATTTTAAATTGTAATAATATTTCTCAATATTACTGTTTTTATTGTATTTTTCATCAAAAACATAAAAAAATCTTACCGCCCTCAAACTTTTGAACAGTAGCATATACCAGACATTTAAGGAGATGTTTTGTAAATATAATTCCATTATGTAATGTCATTAATTTTACAACTTTTGGTAACACTTTAGAACAACTTTCATTAATAGCCCTTTAAAACATTATATAATGCTTAACAGATCAATAGTTCATGTACTTTCAAACATGAATCTATATGATAATACTGTGTATGAATCCCGTTTTAAATATTTGAAGGCACATGAGCTGATCTGATCTGTGAAGCATTATATAATGCAATAATATCATGAATGAAAGTTATTATAAAGAGTTATCCAAACCTCTGGAATATTTTGTGGTAATCCATCTTTCTCTTCTGAAGTTTCATTGTTGTCAATTTCAGCTAGAACCTTTATGAAAAACAGATGTCATTTGCATTATTTTATCAAGACATTAGAATGTATTAACATTTAATAAAGTCGTTTAAAAACTACTACATCGACTAAATTTTTATAATTATTATATATAATCATGATTCATTATTTTAATTGATTGACAGCCCTAATTTTTAATATCATTCTTCACGCACCTCCCCTGGCATGATTTGTCTTGAGTGGCACACCTCAAGCTTTGAAAACCACAAGTCTGATTAAACATTAATCCTTGATTCATTTTGTTGCAATTCATCTCTTAAACGGAAATAAACTTCAAATCAACTCAAATTAGGCTCACTTGTCCGGCAGAGGTGAGGGCTGTTGGTGGTCTTCTCTGTGGAGGTTTGACTCTGTTGCCTGTGGGATGGCTCAGTTTCTCTGAGGACACATCTACACTGTCAAACTGGTCAGGGGTTTTCTCTTTAACCTCCTTACTGTCTTTAACCTCTTTCTGTACTGGTGAAGCTGGGGGCTGTTTAGGCGAGACAAGTTGTGGCTCTTCATTTCTAAGAGACACATTTTACACACATACAATGCATTAAAATACATTTCAGAAACTTCTGAGTACTTAAAATACACAAATGCAAAGCAAGCAGTTTCAGTTTAATAGCATTGTTCTCTGCACTGAAATCAAAATAAACACCAGCATCTGTAACGTGGTGATGCTATCAATGTGTCTAATGTGTTTTAAAGTACCGAGAGCTTTTTTCAAACAATGCACTGCTTTGATTTGTTGTGGAAAATGTTAGATTAACTGTTAATTGACAGTAATGTCTTACGTTTGTGCATGCATTACAGTCAGAATGACAGATCTTTCTGTAAGCTCTGCCTGAAGACTCAGTCTCACAGGAAAAAACAGGAAACAGGCAGTTTGGGTTTGTTTAGTCCCTTAGCAACTCATAAAATTTCAATCGCTCTCTGCAATACTGAGCATTCACAGGCCCTTTAGAACAACATATCATGCTAAATGATTATCTAATGAGGGGGAATTCAGTCCCTCAGCATTAGAAATCTGACCGATGGAAGGAGATTCATGATTTTAATTATCTGGCGAAATAGTGAAAAATTTTAGTTTTTCAGATTCATTATATTTTTGCCATTACTTAATGAGCATCACAGAAGGTTGTATGCTCGAAAGATGATTTGCTGAGGCATCACTTACTTTGGTACTAGTTTTATGGGCTTCCCCTTCACTGGTGGTGGTGGAACGGGTGGTTTGTGTAAACCAGGCAACTTAATTTTACCAGGTGGGTCACTTCGAAAATCTTTAGTGTCTGGTTTCTCACCTGTGCAAAGAGCAGAGAGGGCAATGGCGAGATAAATATTATCATAATGGCTAAATTTCCTCTTCCGCTTTTAAATGCGTTCAAATATTTAATATTTATTGAAGTAATAAATAATTCAATCATCAAGACAGGATGTTACACTTTAGCAAGGTTATTTATAGGTGTGTTCAGAATTATTACTTTTAGTCTCCGTTTTTGGGTTTGTGTCAGAGCTGTTCTGGTCCATCACTGGCATCTGGTTCACTGAGATATAAGAAGATACAAGATTTGGCAGTCAATGTATTTGTTTCATCAAAATTTTATGCATTTGTGTTTTTGTTTTCCCCATCAATGCTACTAACAACTCTTAAAAATGTAACGAAAAAATCCTCCATCCCTGTCATTTTTTTTTTAGACTGTTACAGAGTATCTTTTGTCCATAGAACACCAGAGGATCCAGCCAGCACCCTTGAAGCAATTTTTGCAGTCATTCTTTTTCATAATTTGCCCTTTACAAACTTTTAAAATAACAGCACAAAATAAACATCACTTTGAAGCATTCTCACAGCTATACGGGTTACATGCTGGAGGTCTCAGTGGCATGGGAACAGGCAACTTTCCCTGAAAAATGAGCTAAAGAGCTGGCCTGCTCTTTCCTGTGGCTACACAAAAAATTATCATGGGTTCCCTTAATAAACCCGAATGAGATCAAGTATTACCAGCCTTTAAACTACAAAACAAAAACATCAAATCTCTGTGCTCATTCAGAATTTTGGACTGTTACAGAGTATCTTTTGTCCATAGAACACCAGAGGATCCAGCCAGCACCCTTGAAGCAATTTTTGCAGTCATTCTTTTTCATAATTTGCCCTTTACAAACTTTTAAAATAACAGCACAAAATAAGCATCACTTTGAAGCATTCTCACAGCTACACGGGTTACATGCTGGAGGTCTCAGTGGCATGTGAACAGGCAACTTTGAGCTAAAGAGCTGGCCTGCTCTTTCCTGTGGCTACACAAAAAATTATCATGGGTTCCCTTAATAAACCCGAATGAGATCAAGTATTACCAGCCTTTAAACTACAAAACAAAAACATCAAATCTCTGTGCTCATTCAGAATTACCCTTGTGGAGTCAAAATCAAACAAGAAAGTCACAATCTAAGACTAAATCAAATGCAATCGCAGATCTTACCAAAGCCATAAATGTCACATGTAATTACTTTGAGTAAACATCCTCTCTCATACAGAACATTATTTCATCTCCCATCAGGATGACTATGACAAGATTGTTTCTTTTGAAACCAAATCTTCAAAAAACCTATTAAAAACCCCATTCTTTGACATTCTCACTCTAATTGCCTGAAGTCATAAGACAAGCGATATCAACTGCAAACACATCTAGCATGTAGAGAACACTAAAATCCAAGAACTGAAAATACTGAAGAATAAATAGTGTCTATACATACCCTGTGAGTTTTGTCAGTATTCCAACATTACAACCCTATGTTCATATGAAGGCGTTTATATGTAGAGAGCACAGGGGTGCTCCGCTTTTCTCTAGAGTCTGCTCACATGACATCTCTTCATGGCCTACGACTTCCTGTCACAGCCCCACACAGCTGCATCAGTGTTTCTTAGAGCGGTTTGTGGTAATGAGTGTTATGTGTGTGAAGTCAGATTTAAAACTTCAGTAATTAAGAGATTCTTGCATTACATTTCCAGGCTTTTAAGAGCACTTTAATACTGCCACAGATAATTCTGCAGCAAAACAAATATGATCAGCCTGAGGGGAAATGGAGTCTCACGCTCGAGCGCAAAACAAAACATGAGATGAGCAAAAAGCCTACTTCCTGTCCTAGAAATGACAGTTGTCAATAACAGGTGCAGAAACTGTATCTTAGAGTATCCATGTAGTTTCCATCAGATAATGTTTGTGAACTACCAAACAAGCTAATATTAAACTTGCTAATTCCTCAGAAAAGTCAAGCTGATTAAAAAAATTGTATAGTGTAATAATAAAGACTGCTCAGCACTGTATAAAATTAATAGAATGTTCATTAAATGTTCATATTCTTTGTAAAAGAAAAAAACATCTCGGTTACGTATGGTAACCCTTGTTCCCTGAGGGAGGGAACGGAGACGTCACGTCAGATGACCGACGAATTGAGATCTCGCTTAGAGAGACCAATCTACTTCGAGTGTAAACTAAACGAGCCAATGCACATTGGCATGCAATTATTGCATCCAGCTGCCGCTGATCACAGCGTGAGTATAAGTAGGCAGCAGATGCAGCGCATATTCAGGTTTTCGCTGAGGAGCCGAGCCGGTGACCCGGCCGCTCAGCGGTGGTACAGGAGCTGTGGCGACGGGACGTGACGTCTCCGTTCCCTCCTTCAGGGAACGAGGGTTACCATACGTAACCGAGACGTTCCCTTTCAGTCGGTCACTACGAGTCACGCGTCGGATGGAACTCAGAGGAATCGGCCAAGGAGGGGCTGTCACGAGGAGCATTAGTTCCGG